GGTGGTGGTCGTGGTGGTGGTGGTGTGGTGGTGGTGGTCTGTGATAGTGGCTACGACTAGTACTAGTAGTAGTGCTAGTATACCGGTCATCCTACCTATGTTGGGGCCGTTTCAATGCTTGACACTACAGCAACCATCAGGCCAAGTCACGCCTGACACTAAAGGCAGAGAGTACTTCTGCAACACTCCGACGACAAAGTCCACCTTCACTCTGCACTGGCCTCAGTTTGAAAAAACATCAGCCGTGGCAGGCAGTCTGCAGTCTGAATCGCGGGCTGTGTAACCACTGCTACTCTGTGATAAAGAAGGCTTCATGGAATCAGCCCCATGTCTTCAGACACCGACAGCCGCCGCCTTCTTGCAGGCGAGATGCTTGGTTGCTGGGGCTGACCTCTATGATTCAACAAGGCTAAGGGGAAAAAACAATGGCGATCGACGTGGCTTACCGGTGACACAATTCAGACTCGCAGCTTGTGGGAGAATGGTCCCCTTCGGAATCTGAGTCCACGCAGCCCGTCTTGATCAGTATGTCTGCCTCAGTTCGCTAGCAGAAGCACCGTCGTATTCTCCTTGTCAATGATGCCCGCAATTGGCCGAAGGCACCCGTGTATTCGTCCTGGCAATCACTTCCTGACAAAAGCGATGGAGGTCACTGCAGATTCACCTACAACCTGCCCTAAGTCACTATGTTGCATTGCAGCATGAGCGTGAAAGGCTTTTTCGAATATTCCAAAGACGCGGCATCCGAGGCCTTGCTGGAGGTGCGCTTGGAGGCTCCGCCCAAGGAGTGCAGAGCCAGCTCCTGAGCGACACCATTCTTATCAGCTCCGGTGAGTCTCTGAGGCCCAATATGGCTAAAGCAAGATCGCAACTTTAGAAAAGCCGAGATGTGATACCTGAGAGATGCTGGCTTCTGCCTTACTAACTTCATTTGACTTCCATCGAAGCGCGGCTTCTGCGATGACGGTCAGCACTACATGCATTCACCGTGGGAGGTAGCGTGCCAAGCCGACACCCTTACCGTCCTTACCATAAAGCACCAATGCTTGAATATCAATGAGGAACTTCCACTCCTTGATCACAACTCATGTTGCAGTCCATGGTTCACGCAATGCCAAATTGACCACTGAGTTCTCATGGTCCAAAGTGCTTGTGAAAGGTTAGGTAGTGTTTATGATTCCAGCTGCCCTGCGATCGTTGATGGTTGTCACAGACGTCAGGACAGCTCGAAACTCCAGCTAGCTGGACTCAGCTATCCAAATTGTTTTTCTGAAAGACTCCCCAGGGTCCCTGCCTTGTTGCCGACACTAGGCTTCCGGTTCCGCCTGCGACCGTGGCCTCCAACCACCTGCGGCCAGGCAAGAGCAAAAAATTGGCCGGTGGCCGGGCCCCTCGCCTCGACCGATACCTCCGAAGTAAACATGGCATCATGGCCGTACTCCTGGCGATTGCAAAAAAGGCATGGTCAGTTGAAGCTGGTTAGTGGGACCCTCGGAGCGATGTCAGAGTACCAACACTGGAGTGAATGCATTGCAGCAAGTACCGGGCCTACCAAATCGCTAAAGCGATAGTGCGCGCACATTCACCCTGACTCCTCAGGTTGGTTGGGGGACATGGGGGGGGGAATGGAAAGCACATGAAGTGTTTGCATGTGTGCGCCGCCTGAGAACTTTTATCATTGTGCGTGTGTGTGCCAGGATGTTCGGGGATTCCTGCACATGTTGCACGGGCTCGTGTTTGTGTGTGTGTGTGTTCATGTGTGTGTGTGCGTGCGTGAACAGTCCTCGTTCATGGGCTAAAGGAGGTCACTCTCCTGCGACAGTTTTCGATTGTAGCGTCAGATTGCATGTTTTCAGCAGGGGTACGGCTCTCTGATGCTACTGTACCCAACGAAGCTGTGCATCCGAGAGTGTAGCGAAGCCTGATCTGTTTGGTGTACCTGCGAAAAGGCCAACCCAAAGTACCACAAACGCTGTTGTTTTCGTAATGGCCGAAATCCAACCGAACATGTGTATCCTTTCAAAAGGGTGTCTACAACGGCATTCCGTGACGGCGTCGGGGTGGTCTCCATCGGAGGCAGTCCTCGTTGAAGGGGATCGAGCATTACACACTTTTCGGGGTGCTTCTCTTGGCTTTGCTTTGCTTTGCTAGGGGTGTGGGGCAACAGCAGACCTGCTACCTTGCGCCCCAGGCGCTACCCCATCCATCATTCTGCAGGCAGACGGTCTCTGTAGGAGTTGCTGTTTGGTCGACAGGAGGTACAGTGTGCCGATGTGGGGGCAAACAATACCTGAGGTAAATCAGCATAAGTGCAAAGCACCGTGTACCTCACATAGCTTGGGTCAACATGTGTCTGAGGGGAAAACATGCTCAAATTAACGCCCCCGCAAGTCCTATACTTGCCGCAGGCACACCACGCTAAGGTTCAAGGAAAGGATCGAGTGCCCCTCATGACAAATTAAAGTCACACGGCACTTTTTGAAGGCTGCGGCAACGGGTTGGTTCATGGATCCCGGGTTCTCCGGGTGGTTGTATGCACCGAGGGTGCATTGAAAGTGCACATCAAAAACTTGTAGCATCTTGTAGCCTCTGGTACTCCGCCATCGGTTGGGCTGTCACCTCTCACGCCGTGTTGGTGCTTTCCTGCTCATGTCTCTGGCTGTCTGTATCACCTTCTGCGCCAGGTTTGTGCCAGGGTCCCCCTTTTCGCCTTGGGTCCTCCGTTGCAAGCTGCAGGAAGCGGGTCTTCTTGCGCTCTGAGGCCTCTGCGTAGTGCCATCCCCTGTTCTCGCATAGCCCTTTCCTGCTGCGGGTTCCCCCCTTTGGACGAGCTTGCTTCAACGTGTCTGGCTGGTGTTGCCGGCGCGGCTCCTGCTGTGCGCGGGTCCGGGCCTCGACGACGTGTCTCTTGGTCCCTGGTCGCACGGTCTTCGGCCTGGCTGGCCCTTTGCCCTCCTCGTTGTGCCTCTTGTCCCCTGTCGCGCGGTCTTCAACCTGGTTGGTCCTCGGCTCCTCTGCTGCTCGTTTCCTTCTTTCCAGTCCATTATGTCCCAGGAGGCATCGTCAGACTCCTTGTGTCCCGTGTCTCTGGTGGCCTTTGTCTCCTTGGTGCCTCTGGGCGTTGCTGTCTCCTCTGGCTTGGTCGTAGAGCTAGCATTGGAAGAAGATGACGAAGAGGGTGGTTTGCGCTTCCGTGCTGGCGCAGCGGTGGTCATTGAGGGTGCCGCTCTTGACTTCGACGTCGTCTGCAGTGGCTTGCCGGCTCGTGTTGTCGCCTTACTCTTTGGTCCCCCTTTGGTCTTCGGCTGGGTCTTCTTGTCCGCGGCCAACCTTTTGGCTTCAGCAACCTCTAGTTGTAGCTTTCGAGCTGCTCCTCCTTGGGCTGTGTCGCCACGAAGTACACAGTCGGGTGACTCCCTGTCGTGCGCGTAGTGCCTGCCTCCTTCTCCACGTCCTGGTTGAAGGAGACACCTTGGGCAGCACCTGGTCCCACCATGTCCCACCCACGAAGAGAAGTCGGGTGCCTCCCTGTCATGTGCGTAGTGCCTGCCTCCTGGTTGAAGGAGACATCTTGGGCAGCACCTGGTTTCACCATGTCCCACCCACGAAGAGAAGTCGGGTGCCTCCCTGTCATGCGCGTAGTGCCTGCCTCCTGGTGGAAGGAGACATCTTGGGCAGCACCTGGTCCCATCCACGAAGAGGGGTTCTTGCCTTTTCTCTTTTTCGGTGTGGCATGGTTGGGGTGCTCCTGCCGACTTTGTGATTTCCTTTTGGGCCTGGTGTTCTCCTCGTAGTTCGCAGATCTCGTTCTTGGTGTCCCTGCCACTTTCCCGGTCTGTTCTTGGTGTCCCCCACCCAGTCTTTTGGTTCTGTTTTTACTGGGTCTCGTCGTCTACATGGGAGGGGTGGTCGTAGCATGCTTGCCTACCCCTACTGCCGGGCCACCCTCACCCCCTGCCAGGTTAGGTCTTTGCGCCCCCTTGGCGTCGCCCTTGAGCCTCTTGAGCCAGAATGGCTATGGCTGTTTCTCTCTCTCTCTCTCTCTCCTCCTTCCCGCCCCTTCACCTCCGTTCTCGCTATAGGTATTTGGGCCACCCGATTCGAGGCCCAAGGTACTTTCATTTGAGTGTATGGGAACCCTCTCATCCGCGAATAAGGTGAGTCATGAGTGATTGCACAGGGCGGCATTTGCATCCGGTAACTTTGGAGTGATCGGTGTGCGCGCTGCTACCTCCGCTGTTTAGTCTGTCTCGCCTATTCGTACTTCCACGTATCTTCTCTATTCCGCCTTTGCACAGGAGGGCATGTGCATCTGATTTGAGGTCTATTGCGGTAAAGTGCTTTGCAGCAAAGTGCCACTGCCTTGCCGGAGCAGCATTCCGGTTAGATTTTCCATTGCCGTTTTTGTACAAGCTGATTGCAAACGTTTCACCACTTCCGGACGCAACCGCGACGTCCTGTGGATACTGTTTGTGCTTGCATGTGCCCCCTAACAATGGGACGTTGTAACAACGGGACGCTGTGTGTGTTTGTGAACGGTCCTCGTTCATGGGCTAAGGGACGTCACTCTCCTGCGACAGTTTTTCGATTCTAAGTAGCGTCAGATTGCATGTTTTCAGCAGAGGGGCACGGCTCTCTGAGGCTACCGTACCCAACGAAGCTGTGCATCAGAGAGGGAAGCCAAGCCTCATCTGCTTGGTGTACCTGCGAAAAGGCCAG